TTATGGATATTAGGATATTTAAGATTAGGATGTTAGGATATATTTAGGATATTAGGATATATTTGGGATATTAGATATCCAAGATTAGGGTATATTTAGGATATTAGATATTTAAAATTAGGATATATTTAGGATATTAGAACATTTAGGATTTAGGATTAAGGATATTAGGATATTTAATATTACGCAGTGCACGTATAATACTTTTGGAAAAGATGGCAAAATGATATTCGTCATTATTTAAATATTATCATAAATTCGTCGCGTTAAATTGTTACGTATGGTAAAAATTAATTTAGCCAAGATGTAATGGTTGTCGCGTCAAGAATCTCTAACTGTACGCGGCAATTAATTACTTTACTACTTTACTAAGTTTTACGAAAGCAAACATCTTATTTGATTTATGCTCCACGAGCATTTTGACACACGCTCGTCTCGTCATTATTTTTGAACGAGTAAAAATTATCGAAAGTCTAACGCATCTCTCGACATCTTCAAAGAGGGATTTTTGCTTGCGTCCGGATTATCGTTTTCTTGCGATCGTTATTTTCATTTTGAGATCCATGAGTGCTATGTTAACGAAGACGCTCGCGAGCTACCGACGGATCGCGACTTGAGAGACTTCGATGCCGGGCAAACTCCGAGACGTATCGGTTCGCTAAATACTTTTACAGATACAAGTCGGATAAATATATTCGTCGCGACAGCGCATTGACTGATATAAAACTGTCGATAGAATTTGTTAATAATTTAAAAGTTACATTAATTAATTTTATTTCTTCTGTTTCGATTATATATAATCAGTATCTTTTACATACAACTAATGTCAAGAGAACGATAATCGGTTAAATTGCAATATTAATAAATAGATAATCTATGATTAAATGGAACTTGTGTGGAATTTCTTGTAAAGAAATAAATTGTGAGCCAATTCGTTAAATTCAACGATTTTGTTGTGCAATTTTTAAATAGTCGAGAATCGGTTTTGCCGATTGATTGTCCGAAAATCGATTGTCGGCTTTTTAGAAGAAAAGCCCACACACAAAGTCCTAGTACAACCTGCGGTGTACCTCATAAAAGCACAGCGTGTATCACCCAACAGTGAGAAAAAAGGAGATAGAGAGTCTAGCGAGAGAGGCTAATGCTTGTGGTAATATTTGAACGAGTGAAAATACCGCGTTTTTGGGGTGATAGATTTGATGCCGGTCCAACCTTCGTCTAGCGGCGTAGCCGATAAAAAGGCGGTCCTTTTTGCGAAATTCGAGTAAATACGAGGCCAGAAAAGAGTCCGCTCTTCGAATTTTCACCTCGGCCGTTAGTTTACACAGTGCGACAACCGACGCGGTGCACAATGGTGCCTAAAAGACATTATGCGAACAAAAGATTTTACACTTTTTCCTTAATTTTATCTCGGGAAATCGATTACAAATATTATTAAGGATGCATGTGTCATATGTCAAAATATTGACAAAAGCATGAAAATTTCGTAGACTGTTCTACTATTTCTTCTGAATATCTGTGCAAAATCTGACAATTCTCTTAATGGTTTGGAAATTATTCAAGTTTAAAGTTAATATTGATTCTTATGGAAAATTGCGTATTGTAGCACTTATTGACAAATTTGACAAAGGAAAAACATTGTCAACAAAATAAAAATTTTCACATATATTAAAAAAACTCTAATAAATATTTGTGCAAAACTTGATTTAGATTCACTCACTCATTTAAAAGTTATTTACTAAAAATTGTAGAAAAGTATTATTTCTCTCTCTCTCTTTTTCTCTCTTTCTTCTCTGCAAATTACTCTTTTTTTTTATTTCTTACAGTTGATTTTAGGAGGTATTCATGATCAAAAGTTTTTGTCATAAACTAGGAAAAATATTAATTACAAATATTTTCTTTTACGAAGACATTAAAAACCATATTATTTTGTGATACTTTCTTTCTTTTTATAGTCCGGATTTATTTATTTGATTTTTTAAACTGTAAAAACGAAAGAAATATGTTTTTTTTTTTACATTTAGGCAGTTTTTTGCTACTATTGTATAGCCAAAATATTCTTAAGTAACCATTTGTATCGCAATATTCACGTATCTTTTAATTCATATTAACATATATTTTTTATTATTTCTTTTTATTTGCGTATCTTGATTTTATAATAAACAAGCTCGAAAAAATCTTCAATTTCTTACATACAAATCAGTATAATTATCGCAAATAAATTTGATGCCAAACTATGCCAAATACACACATTAAAGGAAACGTTATTTTATTTATCTGTAAAATCATTTTATTTTATTCATTTTATTGCGATAAAATTAAAAATTGAAAAGGAGAAATATTCATTTCTCGCTTTTCAGCATTTCTTTTAATTTTGAGATGCGCAGGTATATAATTTGTAACAAGATATATAGAATGTTCTTGAGGAATATCAATCCGATATTTCGACGCGAAAAATATTTAATCGCGTTTGCGATAAAATCTCTTTGATCGAAGAAATATCGTCACTCGCCGCGTTTCCATCGTGATTTCTTATTCGCCGACAATTCGTGAAATGGGTACACTTGAATATTTTCCAAGACAAGTTTTTAAGAATTCAGGGGTTTTGTCCGCTTAAGCACCACTGGTCCGCGGCGCCTGGGCCACCTTTTGTGCGACGCGGCGATGTCGACTTACAAATTGGAATACAACGGGGCCGGAGTTAGGAGAATCGTTTCACGCTTCGCGGAGGCGCCAAGTGGAAGGCAAACATCGATAAAAAATGCATGAATAAAGCGCACTAATGGAGCCTCAGTGGTCCATGGAAATAAACCTCGAATGGGTCTTCGGTTTCCTAAAGGTGACGACGGACGAGCCGCGATCGAACTTTCTTCTCGTCGATTTATAAGTTCTTACAATATCGCAAATCATTTTTAAATCCCAAGCACAAACTTCGTTGAATAAATTTTCATAAAAGGGATTATTCGAATGGGTTCATTGAAAAGCAGTGATAGATATTTGAAATTATCTGATTATCATTAATCTATTCCATTTTTTTTTTTATTGGTTTTTGAAGAAATTAAAGGAAATAACTGACTATTAAAGAAAATTCCGAGAAAGTAGATTTGCCTTTCGAGATCGATAACGAATGAAAAATCATGTCCAAAGTAACGTCTTATATAAATTATCGATCTTGTCTTGCAAGTAAAACGAGTACGATCGAGTACGCTTATCACGCGGCTAACATTTCGCGTGAATCACCTGCCGACGTTTTAACGATGTGCAGTAGCCAGTTTGTCATACGGCCCGGAGTATGGTGACACGGATTAAAGTAATAACGCATGTTCGCGCGCTTGTTCGTGGAAGAGGCACACACTCGATCGATATATCGGAAATTGCCATCATCGAGATACTTTATAAACGCATTTACGATTACGCACGTCTATATACGGACAATTTTTCTTAAAGTATCCGCATATATTATATTAGATCAATGTGGAAGATAAAGACGAGCGCAAAAATTGATTTTTCTTCATTTTCATAAAAAAATTATATAAACTTTCGAAAATATTTCAAAAAGAAAACTTTGCTCGAGATATTTGAAAAGTAAATAAAGTTACGAATATTTTTATAATTATTACACATTATGCATGGGAAAGCTTAGTTCTTATTTTGACACATTGTTTATTTCCTCGACGATGTTGATTTTCGAAACTGTAGAGGTTCAATAAATATAGAAATTGCTGCTGTTTCGACGAGATTTGTACAGATGTTGCCAAAAAATCAACGCCATTGGAATTACTATGATAAGTGTAAGATAAATTCTTATACGTCGTATTCAGAGATTATTACTAACTCCTATCTTATTTTTAGTAAAGATAATAGAAGAATTAATTAAATTTTAATTTTTTCCAATTCTTGGAATAATCGTTTCTTTCAATTACACGAGCTTTAACGTAATCTTCATGCGCGCGTGTTATAACCGTTATCAGTATAAATCATGTTATATATCACGTCGTAATACTATTTTGTAATGTGTTGCGTATCATTTGTACGGATCAAAGTCATGATATGCAGAAAACATCGATATACTGAACGAAACAGAGAGTAATGAGGCAAGAGGGGAAAAGAGAGAAAAGTTCATGTATATTAGATACTAATTTCTCTAAAAACGAAGATATATAGATAAAATCTTTAACGGAGAGAAATTCCTGGCCTTTTTCCCCGGGACTTCTGATCATCGCATCCTTCACCATTTTCTGCACCCAGGCAAATCGACGAGGAAGCAGAGGAAGGTGAGACCCGATGACGTCCCGATAACGTCGCGTTCGATTGTCACTTTAATTAATATGAGACGGAACGCGATCGATCGATCGGCTGGTGTAATATCCCTCGTAAACGCCGTGTCGTTTCGCTGGATGATTCACCGGCGCGACGAGCAGCCTCAAGGACGGCCGTCTTTATCGCAACTTGACGCACTTTTATCATCGGCATGACATTATATAGCTGCCACACTTCCAAAGTATGACTCTGCTACCCGTGACGTGAGGTCACGTGCCAAATCAAATCGTCGTTTGTACAAGCACGGTAACGAAATAACACAGTACACAGGTTGCGTTTAAGATTGTTGATATCGATTTTCTTTACCCCAGTTAGAGATTTGATACAAATCTTGATAAAGATCATTTAACTTGGTTTACGGTCGCGATAAGATCGACGCTTTAAGTAAATATCTCGCTTTATCCGTCGCATACCAGATAAATTATTAAAGGCGCAAGTAGGTGAAGGCGATAAGCAATGTTCGTTTTAATATGAGATCAAGATTATATGACTCGATTTTATTTACAGATTTATCCAATTAAATCACACATGATGAGAATCATTGCAATTTTAAATTAATAGCGACATTTCTATATTATTTTCTTTATATATGCTATATTATTTTTTTATATAAAGAGAAACGATTGACGTATAATTTACACAAGTGAAAATAAATGGAGTGCATTTGTTAAATTATCAATTTTGAGACCTGTCAAAGGAAGGTGGCAGTTCTTCATCTACTTGCGCCTTTGTTTGTATTCCCGAAGGAGAAATCGCGTGTTCACCTGTGTCATGAGACGATCCGCGCCGGTGCCCTCCTCGTCCTTAAAGATGATGTCCGTGTTGTAATTGGGCACGAGATTTCGGAATTTGGTATCGTCCCTAGATATCTTTCCCTCGTTGAGCCCGCTCGCCGGTAGGGTATTCTCGCTGACGTTCGGTACATGCTGCTTAAAGACCAGGGGTGTGAGCTTCCTCACGACCGGCCGTCGGCCGCCGCCCCTACCGGGTCCGCACGCCAGCGCGCCGTTCTCGAATAAGGGCAGCCAGAGGCCGAGGATGAGCAGGAGTACCTGGAAGAGCGAGACGCACGTACGTCTCCCGATGGCGCAGTGGTGGCTCGCCTGGAGACCGCGGCGATGATGACGATGGTGCACCATAATCGCGTGCCTCTGCCTCGAGGTCGACCTTGCACGGTCACTATTCTCGTCGTCTGCAGAATGGCTGGCAGAACGACGATGACGACGATGACGACGACGGCAACGATGTAGGTGACGTTCTGCAACCGATTCTTCCTCTCCGCCTCTCGCCACTGACCTCACTCACGCTTAACCATAACCAGGGCATCACACACCCCTCCCGAGTGCACGCACTCTTACCACCGATGCGATCCCCGGTAGTCGCGTCGATAATCACAACGCGCGCAACCGACGGAATGGTTCAACCGGGAGAACCCCGAACGGGACGCGAGCGATCCCGGTGCGAAGTTACAACCTCCCGAGAGATCGGAGCAGAAGGACTTGCCCTTCCTTTCACGATGCGGACATTATACCGGGTATCATCGAGTCGGTGATGGTACCGAGTCGAAAGATCTTTCTACATCCTACAGGCATCCCGAGAATTATCTTACGTCGGATTCGCGCCCGATTGACCGACACTCTCGAACGATTCGACACTGTGGGAGCCCTTTAAATTCTCTCGTCGGCACGCGCCAACACGTTCCCGTCTTTCCTCACTCGGAACCCCCTGCGATCGGTTTTCGTCGGAGAGGAGGTATGTGCGACTCGACTCACTTGACTGAACTCGGACGAAACGCTGTCCGGAAGCTGGCGCACGTTTTCCGGACGAGCCACGGTGGTGGGAAATACAGGATGGGTTTTGGTGGGTTACTCCTGCGTTGTTTCTGCGACCTGGCCAGGTCCAGAATACCCCTCTTCCTGCCCCCACCCCGCGGCAAACGGCCGGCCAGACCGCTGCCGCTGGCTGCTGTTAGCCGCTGGCCCCCGTGGGGCTCTCGTGGCCTCCAAAGGTGGTGGTGGATGATCTCGTCCCCTCTACCTAGGGCCTTCTGGTACGCGTGACTGACGTCACCAGGCCCGCCGTACCTCTATTGGCTGGGGCGGGGCGTTCACCAGGTAAACGAAGACAGGTGCACGTGACAGGAGGGATAAGGAGAAAGAGAGGGAGAGAAATAAGTGATAGGGAGTGCGAGAGAAAGGGAGAGACGGAAAAAGAAGAAGAAAGAGACTCGGAGAATGATCTTCTAGCTTTCTCCTTCGTAGATGCGATCGGTCTCTCGTTCTCCTCCCCTACTCGTCTTCTCGATCCTTCTGTCTCTCCGCTTTCTCGCGAACCATTTCTTCGTTGTTGTCCGTCCGTTCGTCTCTCCTTCTTGGACCTATTTTTCTTCTTTCGACGTTTCTCGTCTGCCCCACTATCAGCACGATCGGGTTGCACTTCTTCTTCGTCGTATACCGTCTCACCTTGTTACTTCGTTCTTCTCTTTATCGGAGTACGTCGCTCTCTTTTCTCCTCCCGCACTTCCTCTCGTCACGCTCGTTCGGCTCTTTTAGCGTGTAAGATTATCCTACGTCTATAAGACTATCCCCCCTCTCCTCGCACGAGATCTCTTTGCGAAGATTCTCAGTGATTTTCTACCTCCCCGAGGCACGCGTCGACACCCTCGCGACGAAAGTAACGCGCTAGGAGATGCGCGAAGCCTACGGGGATGACCTTGAGGGATACTCCGTGCGCCGCAGGCACTCTTCGTCTTTTTCTTCCTCCTCTCTTCGCTCTCTGTTTCTTTTTTATCATAAGTACTAGTCGTTTTCCTCGATGTATAATTTTTGAATTTTCGCACCTTAGGAGATTTTCATGTGAGCAGATATCAAGTCCGGCATTTAAAAATGGCGCGATTTTTGCCGGCATGGGGACAATTTGTACGAATGACAATTAACTTCCAATAATTGTACTTATCGGAAAGCGTTGTTGTTCTCCTGTATTTTTGACAAGTTCAGGTAAACACAAGATTATTCGTTATCAAACACTCGAACGCGAGATACCGCGAAGAAGAATCTATGAACGAATCGTATCGCGCGCGCTGTACTATCATCAATCGTTCGGATCGAGAAACGCGATTGGTATTTACGTGCCATTGGGGACGTAAATAATTAAGCGAATTAAACGCCGTTGATCGTATCATTAAGCGACAGGGTATAAGGCGCGGATAAGACGTACCGAGGCCGAGCGCGGCCACACGTCGACTGATATGAAAGTCTAAGCCTCCTGCTGGGGGGATAAGCGGAGAAAGGGGGGTACGGCAAAGAGAGCTCGGTTTACTGATAATAAACATCTTTCCTGAACACACGTGCGTTCGATCATTGGCCCGAATTTACACAACGTCGCGCCGAAACGTGCCCGCAATATAGCTACACAATCGCGTGCTACGACTGGAAAAAAAGTGCCTCTCGATCTCTCCGTCTCGGGAAATCATTCGCCACCGATCGCACAAATGCGTCGTTTTGTTCGTTAGATTCTGTCCGAGTCGGAATTTTTCTCCTACTTTCGAAAATTCGTAGAATTACCATGCAAATTGCTATTTATATTAAAGGAAAATTAATAATCATGTGTATATTTATTTCTCTAATGAGTAAAATTATTATTTGTTTATTATTAAATTATTAATTCTGCAAATTACAACTCGGATATTTTAACGAAATGCAAATTAATAAACCATATGCAACGTAATCATTCACAAACATTTATATTAATTGCTGTTGCAAATTTTGATAAATATTTAAAATGTATCTCAATCATCATAATATTTAATATTGAAAAAAATTAATAAATTACAATCACAGAGTCTTAGTGAGTCAAATGAGAACCAATTTCGAATTTTTCTTGGAAGAAAACACGTAATATTGAAATTCCTAGACAAGATAAAAAAAAAGGTTCTTGATATTTTAAAAAAGCAGCAACTATATAGCAGAGATAAATCCACGATACTGGTCAAAAGTTATTCCGTTGCTCTGTTAGAATAGAATCAAAATTTTTCTACGAGTTCCAAAATGTCATATGTGTCGTGAACTTGACTTTCCCTTGAGATTTTCCCTCAGCACACATCCCCGGAAATACAGAATAGTCGCCCTGCGCGAAGAAAGGGGGAAAAATACGGCCCAATGAAAATATAAAATGTCGCTCGTTAACGCGGGACCCGATGCCAGAAATCGCTGAAACTTGCCGGCAATAAAAGGCAACGAGTATTCGCGGGCTGTAAACATCCGCGTGGAACGCTACTCCGGAACATTTCATAATCCTGTTACGAGGCACTTTGACTCTCGCGGCGGCGGATTGAAAATAAAATTTCGCTTATATATCGAGAGAGGTGCGAGTAACGGCGCGACGTTGCCTCGCCATGTATATAAGAGAGATCGTTGCATCTCGTGAGAAAGTACAAGTGGACGAAGAGAGAATTGTCGGTGGTCCTCTCCCGCGTGATTAAGATTCCTCTCCGTCGCGCTGGACCGTGATATTCGACTCCGGCCGATAAAAAAAATACCACGGCTATCGATCCGTTTTATTGCGTCTATCCGTCAAATCTCTCTTAGCTACGATAAGAATCGTAACTCATATATATGCACGTATAGATCGATGTTCGATAGATTCTGATAGTGTATATTTTCTTATCGTCAATATACTCGAGTCGAATTTTTATTTCTACTTTCGATCTCAATTTTCTCATATTTATCGATTCTAAGATTTTTCGATTAATTTATATAATATAATATTATATAATTATATAATATTTATATAGAAATATAGAGAGCTCCCTCTTATAGTGTGTACCTTACATTCGCAGTAAATAAAAAACTAGAGATTAAATACCTTCTACAGACAGGGTGTCTACTCAAATCATGTAAAAAATTTTCCTGAAAATTCCCTGACCTTCCAGGTATTTTTATTAAATTCCAAATAAAGAGAATATTTTAAACATTTTTTCACGTAATTTCCTAAAATAAGTTTTCTTATTGTACGCGTTTTCTAATACTTTTCATTCATAAGAAGGAAAAATATAAAGCCACTTAAGTTTCAAGTGCTAGATTTACAAATGTACTGAAAATAAAACTGAATAGCTTTCGTTAAGATAAACTTTTTTAACTTGCATAACATTTTTATTTTTTATCACTAAAAATTAAAATAAAAAATTAAAAAAAAAACAATATTTTGTTAAGATATTGAATATATAAACAGAGATAGATACATAATATATTTTAAACACATAATTCACAACATGGTTTATTGGCGGATTGTCTACTGTTTACAGTATAAGAGCAAAATTATCAAAGAGAGAATTTTTTTAAAAATCCCTCAGTTCCAATAAAATATCATGAAAATTCCCTGATTTTTCTAGATATAGAAAGATTTCCTGAGAATTCCAGGTTTTTCATGCTTTTCCAGGGCGTAGACACCCTGAAAGAGAGTTATCTGACTGTTTAAAGTATCAAAGAATAGATTAAAAATTAAGATAAAAAAGAGAAGAACGATTTTGACAAAATATATCTTTTTTGCGTAATATCTGTATTATGTATATTCTGCATAAAAAAATTTTATTCATTCCGAACAGAGATGATATTCGTCAAGTATCGAGCACAATTAAAAATGAAAATTGATCCAAAATTTAATTTAACGTGTCTTGATTTAAAATCTTCGATGTGTGTACATGTCGACTTCTTAAGGTTTAATATTCTTTTCCCAAACCGAAAATTCTTCTTCGTCCCGCAAATTTCTATCGACGAGACGCAGCCCACGTCGGTGCGCGTCTTCCATGTACGAGCTCAGCTGTCTCTTTTTCGAGGTAACACGATATCCCAGAGGAACCTAATGTCGAGCAAGAGCGGAGGATAACGCTGGTCCGAACGACGGTCCGAGTTGGGTCTTTTCGTGTAATGGACGGCTCAAATATTTATCATCGGCCGCGTAATTTAAGGTGCGTTTAGCAAACGGAAGACGACGCGAGGAAAAACAAACAGGACACAGGGGCGGTGCGGCATAACTGACGAGAGAAGAGGAGACGGAACGGAGGAGGCGGCGGCGGTGGCGGCGGCGGCGACGACGACGGACGAGGAAGAGGAGAAGGAGACGACGGTGATGCTGAGGGGGACCGGGGCGGGGGTTCGAGAACGATAAGCGGGAGCGAAAGGGCACCAAGAGCGAGAGAGGCGAAAAGAGTAGCTCAAAGGGGCCGCCGTGGGGTCCCAGAGGGCCTTGTGAGAGAAGGCGCAAACCCCAATAATAGCACTAGAATTTATATACCTGCACGAACGCGGTGGAGAACGGTCCCGGGGCTGAAGGGTCCGCCGTTCCAGGGACGGCACGCTCGGTCGCCCGGGCGCTCTCGGGCGATACTCCCGCAGCGATATTCGCGAGCTCTTCTTCGAGACATTCCGTAATCTCGTGTCATGCCATGAAATCGGCAGATGATCGGGAAATTTAGGAGAAGCGAAGATTTATATAATTGATAATTTTTTGCGAAGGTGTATCATTCGATTATTTGATGTATTTATTCATAATAAAAATTCTAATCTGCGATATACACGTTTCGCACAATCTCGAT